TCAGTCAGAGGTTTTCCCTTTTATTGGCTAATAACAGCCTTCACTTTCACCGCTTTTGTGAGCGCTGTGTTTTTAGGAGCACATCAAAGTGCTGCACGTTTACATCGCCACACGCTCTGCGCAGTCAACGTTTATTACCCGACATAAAAAAGAAGGAAGTGTTCGGTGCTTATGAAAAAGAAAAAATCAAAAAAGGCTTGTGTGTTTTTAATTTAATTTATTTATTTTTTTACCCCTCACGCACTCTTACTTTTGCTCATCCCCCTCTTCTGTCTTGTCATTTTCCGTTCAGACAGGAAGCCCCTCTCCCCACCTCGCCGATAGCTTAGAGTCACCAGCTGCCATTCATGAAAGTCACCTTCTTATCTAGGAGGGATGACTCACTGTGTAGACTTCGGTGACGCAGCCATGTGACCTCATCAATCTCTTTTTCCATTCTCCTCTGTCCACATGCTGATGCTGCTTTATTGACCAGGTTAATCTTTAATTTTCCCCTCCAAACTTTGACTTATCCCCTCTTCATTTAATACAAATCTGTTGACAGGAACAGCATATCTGTTATAAATCTTAAAGGTGCGCTAGGTGTCCAATTAACATGTCCATGTGGCACCACATGGACTGAATTAGTTGGCCGCATGTTGTTGAAACTGGCTGAGTTGCAAAAAAAACCAAGGTCCGTCATTGGTTCCACCAAAGGGAATTTCACAGTGTGAGTCTTTGCAACCCACGCAGGCTGCCACACAGGAAGCACTGCTAAGTATGTGGTTCCTATGTGGCCCGAACCAAGGTCCTTCTGCATGTACACACTGGGGCAATTGTTGTGTTAACAGCAGGATGCCCAATGGGTGGCACCAAGTGGTGCCACGGTGGTACCTCGAAATATGAGCTGTGCGAAATACGAGTCTTTAGAGCAGGGGTCTCAAACTCAATTTCCCTGGGGGCCTCTGGAGGCAGAGTCTGGGTGAGGGTGGGCCGCATAAGGGATTCCACAATAAAGTTTAAAAAAAAGTCCTCAAATGTTAACAGTTAACAGTTTTAATGATTTCTTCTGAACATGAAGTGTTTTGAACATGAATGGAACATTGAGTGAAAATCATGAACGGTTCTTCTGAACATGGCTCCTCTTGCTGCCAGAGACTTGACAGCGCTTCTTTTCACCTATCTGAACCACATTTGGCTTGAGAGAGGAAGCAGTTGAGACCCTCAGTATGGCTTGAAGATGATCATCAGTAAGTCTGGACCTGTACTTGGACTTATTGAAGTTCAAGGTGGAGAAGAACTTTTCTATGTTTTTTATGTGCTGCCAAAAAGGCACATGGTCCGCTTGACAATCGGGGAAAGCTCAGGGAAGTTGGGGGGGCAATTCTCTCAAAAATTGCCCATGCTTGTCTGCTTTTCCACTCATCTCCCTGAACTTGGCTTTGAGGTCAGAGTTGCATTGCAGGTCAATGAGCTCCATTTGAAGCACAGGAGGGGCATTTTGCACATCAAAGGTAAAGGGGTCTGTAAAAATTTGAAAAGTGTCTCTGTGCGTCTTGAAGTCTTCAAATCTGTGATCAAATTCCTTCTGTAGCTTCAAAATATCATCAACATATTTCTCACCACTGAATGGTGTGCCTGCATCCACAAGTGTCTTGCATGATGGGAATTGGCAAAAGTTTGTCTGAAAAAGCTGGGCTTTCCATAACACAAGTTTTGTGGAGAATGCTCCCACGTTGTCACAGGCAGCGCTGACGAGCTGCCCCTGGCGTCATTTCCGCTTTGTGACGGAGCGTCCATTAACCGGGAGAGCGCTCGCGAGCCAGAGCGAGAGGCCCCAGCGTACACGATAAACAACCCGGTAACAGTCGCTGTTCTTTTTGCGCTTGATCATGACTTTTTTGGTAGAAAGTACGATAAATGGCAAGCGCAAAGGCGACTGCTGTCTGACTGTTCATTACACGCCGTGCTGTTGTTGCAAGCGTGAAGTGCACGAAGTTGGTGTAGCTTAGCTTAGCTTAGCCTAGCCTCGACAAGGGACGGCGCGCGGGAGCTTGCTGATTGGCTCTTCGGAGGTCCACTTTCTCCGCGGGCCACACTAATATTATACCTTCATATTAAGATGCGGGCCACAAAATATTGTACTGCGGCGATGGCAGCATGTTTTGGAGCATTAACTTGCACTTTGAGGTATTTTAAGTGATAGTATGACTAGATATGGGTTTTTTTTGGAGTTCTTAGCACAAATTATTCACACTACAGTCTTACTATTGCGAAAAACTGCAACAAAATAAAAAGGACACGCATGAAGAGCTGTACAAGTGATTCACAAGTCAGGTCATCAGAAACCTCCATGTGGTTTTCACCATCTGAGGACCTGAAGGACAGAGCTGCCACCTCTCCTGCCCTCTTCAACAGGTACAGTGACATTTACCCTCACAGCAGCAGAGTAACGCTAAAAACTATTGAGCTTCAGTGCTAAACAAAAACACATGTGCTCTGTTCCAGGTGTGTGCTGAACTGGTTTGGAGACTGGTCCACAGAAGCTCTTTACCAGGTCAGTAAGGAGTTCACCAGCAAGATGGACTGGAGAAACCCAAGTACAAGGTGCCAGACTACATGGCCATTGTCCACAACAAACTGGCCCAGCCACCGTCTAATCCTGATGCTGATGTCAAAGGCTACGTACATCAGATACTCCATCAGGTAAGAATATTGGCATACTGAAATATTGATCCTTGATCAAATCTGATCTGTTTACAGATAAGTTTAGACTTAGCTAAAATGACATGTTCAGATAAAATATTTTTGGTAGTTTTGAGCACAAATTGTTCACTTTGCAGCATGTTTTGGTGCATTAACTTGCATTTTGTGGCATTTCCTGGACTTTTTACATTTTTTGTGATAGCAAGGCTATAGTAAGGCATATTTTTGGTGATATTTTGAAATATTAAGATAAAATATTTATGAGTTTTTGGCACAAATTATTCACTTTGCAGCATGTTTTAGGACATTTTGCATTTTAAGGCATTTCTGGGACTTTTTATTATTTTGCATTTTTCGTGATAGTAAGGCTATAGTAAGGTATGTTTTGGGTGCTTTTTTAAATATTCATAAAAAATACTTTTTGGACTTTAAACACAAAATATTCACCTGGCAGCATGTTTTAGGACATAAACTTGCATTTTAAAGCATTTCTGGGATGTTTTACTTTTTGCATTTTTCGTGATAGTAAGGCATGTTTTTGGTGATAGTTTGAAATATTCAGATAAAGAACTTATTTGAGTTTTTAGCACAAATTATTCACTTTGCAGCATGTTTTAGGACATTTTGCATTTTAAGGCATTTCGGGGATGTTTTACTTTTTTGCATTTTTCGTGATAGTAAGGATATAGTAAGGCATGTTTTTGGTGATAGTTTGAAATATTCAGATAAAGAACTTATTTGAGTTTTTAGCACAATTTATTCACTTTGCAGGACGTCTTGGTGCATTAACTTGCATTTTGTGGCATTTCCTGGACTTTTTACATTTTTCGTGATAGTAAGGATATAGTAAGGCATGTTTTTGGTGATAGTTTGAAATATTCAGATAAAATATTTTTGGTAGTTTTGAGCACAAATTATTCACTTGGCAGCATGTTGTGGGACATAAACTTGAATTTTATAGCTTTTCTGGGATGTTTTACTTTTTTGCATTTTTCGGGATAGTAAGGCTATAGTAAGGCATGTTTTTGGTGATATTTTCAAATATTCAGATAAAATATTTTTGGTAGTTTTGAGCACAAATTATTCACTTGGCAGCATGTTGTGGGACATAAACTTGAATTTTATAGCTTTTCTGGGATGTTTTACTTTTTTGCATTTTTAGTGATAGTAAGGCTATAGTAAGGCATGTTTTTGGTGATAGTTTGAAATATTCAGATAAAGAACTTATTTGAGTTTTTAGCACAAATTATTCACTTTGCAGCATGTTTTGGTGCATTAACTTGCATTTTGATGCATTTCATGGACTTTTTACATTTTTCGTGATAGTAAGGCATGTTTTTGGTGATATTTTCAAATATTCAGATAAAATATTTCTTGGAGTTTTTAGCACAATTTATTCACTTTGCAGGACGTCTTGGTGCATTAACTTGCATTTTGAGGCATTTCTGGGACTTTTTATTATTTTGCATTTTTCGTGATAGTAAGGCATGTTTTTGGTGATATTTTCAAATATTCAGATAAAATATTTTTGGTAGTTTTGAGCACAAATTGTTCACTCTGCAGCATGTTTTAGGACATTTTGCATTTTAAGGCATTTCGGGGATGTTTTACTTTTTTGCATTTTTAGTGATAGTAAGGCTATAGTAAGGCATGTTTTTGGTGATAGTTTGAAATATTCAGATAAAGAACTTATTTGAGTTTTTAGCACAAATTATTCACTTTGCAGCACGTTTTGGTGCATTAACTTGCATTTTGTGGCATTTCTGGGACTTTTTACATTTTTCGTGATAGTAAGGCATGTTTTTGGTGATAGTTTGAAATATTCAGATAAAGAACTTATTTGAGTTTTTAGCACAATTTATTTACTTTGCAGCACGTTTTGGTGCATTAACTTGCATTTTGATGCATTTCTGGGACTTTTTACATTTTTCGTGATAGTAAGGCTATGGTAAGGCATGTTTTTGGTGATATTTTCAAATATTCAGATAAAATATTTTTGGTAGTTTTGAGCACAAATTATTCACTTGGCAGCATGTTTTGTGGCATAAACTTGCATTTTGATGCATTTCATGGACTTTTTACATTTTTCGTGATAGTAAGGATATAGTAAGGCATGTTTTTGGTGATAGTTTGAAATATTCAGATAAAGAACTTATTTGAGTTTTTAGCACAATTTATTTACTTTGCAGCACGTTTTGGTGCATTAACTTGCATTTTGTGGCATTTCCTGGACTTTTTACATTTTTTGTGATAGTAAGGCTATAGTAAGGCATGTTTTTGGTGATATTTTCAAATATTCAGATAAAATATTTCTTGGAGTTTTTAGCACAAATTATTCACTTTGCAGCATGTTTTAGGACATAAACTTGCATTTTAAAGCATTTCTGGGATGTTTTACTTTTTTGCATTTTTCGTGATAGTAAGGCTATAGTAAGGCATATTTTTGGTGATATTTTGAAATATTCAGATAAAGAACTTATTTGAGTTTTTAGCACAAATTATTCACTTTGCAGCACGTTTTGGTGCATTAACTTGCATTTCGTGGCATTTTTGGGACTTTTTACATTTTTGCATTTTTCGTGATAGTAAGGCTATAGTAAGGCATGTTTTTGGTGATATTTTCAAATATTCAGATAAAATATTTATTTGAGTTTTTAGCACAATTTATTTACTTTGCAGCACGTTTTGGTGCATTAACTTGCATTTCGTGGCATTTTTGGGACTTTTTACATTTTTGCATTTTTCGTGATAGTAAGGCTATAGTAAGGCATGTTTTTGGTGATATTTTTGAAATATTCATATAAAGAACTTATTTGAGTTTTTAGCACAAATTATTCACTATGCAGCACGTTTTGGTGCATTAACTTGCATTTTGTGGCATTTCTGGGACTTTACATTTTTCGTGATAGTAAGGCTATGGTAAGGCATGTTTTTGGTGATATTTTCAGATATTCAGATAAAATATTTTTGGAAGTTTTTGGCATTAATTATTCACTTTGCAGCACGTTTTGGTGCATTAACTTGCATTATGTGGCATTTCTGGGACTTTTTATTATTTTGCATTTTTCGTGATAGTAAGGCTATAGTAAGGCATGTTTTTGGTGATATTTTGAAATATTCAGATAAA